AATCACGTCCCCAGACACGTCCACGTCCCGACCCCCACGTGGTGGATGGAATCACGTCCCCAGACACGTCCACGTCCCGACCCCCACGTGGTGGACGGAATAACATCTGCAGAGATATCCACGTCCTGATCTTGGGAAGTTATGAATATGTAACCCTACATGGCAACAGTGACTTTGTGGATTGACCAAGCTAAGGGTGCTGAGGTAGAAGTGATGCTGGTGCCCCGTGGCCTCTGTCATCACACGGGTCCATAAGAAGAGGGAGGCAGGAGGCAGATGTGAGCACAGAAGAGGAACATACAGTGTGCCAATGGAACCAGGAGGAACAAAGATGGGGGCCACAAGACATGGCACCTCCAGAAGCCGGGAATGGAAGGAAACCCACTTCTGCCCCAGAGCCTACAGAAGGCACCAGCCTTGCCGACACCGTGCTGTTAGTTCCGCGACACCCATCTTGGACTTCCACCCTCCGATCCATAGGAAAATACATGTGTGCTGTTTCTGGCTGTGGGGTGTGTGCTTGTTGTCACAGAAGCAAGTGGAGACCGATGCACAGCACGTGTCAGCCAGTGGATTTCTGGCGGGGCGTCCAGAATGCTCGGAAAGGCAGGGCTTGGCCACGTCGCAGATCTGCTGACGCAGAATCTCGGGGAGGAGCCTGGCAGCCTGCGTTAGGAAGCTGGCAGGCGTCGTTCTGAGCAGCCGGCACTGGCTTGCTGACCCGACCCACAACAAAACAGCAACGGTCACAGAAGCTGGGAGTTTCTGCAAGCAGTCTCCCTTCTATCCCTCAGAGTCCAAGCTCATCAACCACAGAAACACAAGAGAGCGAGATACTACACCACCAACAACTTGCTCCTCCGGTGGCCTCAGGTGGCCTCGGGGCCAGACCTTATGCCCTTCCCTTAGGACACCATGCTCATGGCTTCGGGAATGCAGCTTTGTGAGCATGCAGAGGCCTGAGAATCTGAGCAACATGAGCGCTTGGAGCCACGTGAGTGCCCAGAGCCACACGAGTGCTAGCGCCACGTGAGTCCTTGGAGCCACGTGAGTCCTTGGAGCCACGCGAGCCCTTGGAGCCATGCGAGCCCTCAGAGCCATGTGAAAGTTGGAGCCACGTGAGTGCTGGAGCCACAGGGGCAGATGGAGCCACATGCGTGCTGGAGCCACGTGAGTGCCCAGAGCCACA